AGGAGGAGGAGGAGGAGGAGGAGGAGGAGGAGAAGGAGAAGGAGAGGAGAGAGGAGAGAGGAGAAAGGAGGAGGAGGAGGCGGAGGAGGAGGACGACGAGGAGGAGGAGGAGGAGAGAGGAGGAGGAGGAGGAGGAGGAGGAGGAGGAGGAGGAGGAGGAGGAGGAGGACGAGGACGAGGACGAGGACGAGGACGAGGAGGAGGACGAGGACCCCCTCGCCCTCCTGGCGCCCGCTGCCCCCGCCTGCCCTCCTGCCAGGGAGATCTTCGCCCGCCTCCGCGGCCTGAAGTACGGTGACCCCTGCCAGGGGGGGGAGTGGGGCAGCAGGGCCCGCTGGCGCAGGCTCGGGCACCAGGGGGAGGTGGGCTCGGGGGAGGAGGAGGAGGACGAGGAGGAGGAGGAGGAGGAAGAGGAGGAGGAAGAGGAGGAGGAAGAGGAGGGGGAGGAGGAGGGGGAGGAGGAGGAGGAGGAGGAGGAGGAGGAGGAGGAGGAGGAGGAGGAGGAAGAGGAGGAGGAGGAGGAGGAGGAGGTGGGGGAGCATCGACCTTCAATCGCCCATTCGTCGCCGATCGGGGTCTGGGGGCAGCAAAGCCCGCGGGCGCAGGCTCGGGCACCAGCTCGGGAGGGCAGCAAACACACACAGAGACGCAGTGCTCGGGGGTGGACAGACCTCCTGCTCTGACACTTCGATTAGCGAATTGGCCGTTTTCGGTTCGCGAGAGGGCGTCGCGGCCGTCATTTTCGCGGGTCCAGGTCCGTCGGTTTCGGTCCCAGGCCGTTCTCACTAAAGGGAGGTTTACTAAAGGGAGGTTTGTCCACCGCCGAAATGCATCGTCGATCCCCCGGAGAGTGTGGGAACGTCTGGGACGTGTGGGGGAAGCTCCGGGAAGGCGAGCGTCACTGAGAGACATTTGAGAAGACGTTGTGTATTTTGGGATGTGCCTGTGTATGCACGTGAGTGCTCCGGGGCCCCTCCCTCAACCTCTCTCGCGGTCGGGGATACCGTTGGGGGGAGGTGGGTCGGGGGCGGCAAAGAGGGGGGTGATGACTAGGGGGGGTGGATATCATGGCGTGGGCCATGATATTTTCCCAGATTTCATGGCGCCTCTTCTCACTTCCTTACGTCCCTGGCCCCCCCGCTGGGCCGCGCACGTGCCGCCGGAAATGATTTGCCCCCCCCTCTTGGACACCCCCCTCTTGGCCGCTCCCGAGTGGGCTCGGGGGAGGATGCTTCAGCCCCCCGTCGCCCATGGATCGCCGACAGTGGCCCTGTGGCCCACCCTGCCCATTCATGCTAATTCGTTCTCGCCCCTTCCCGGGGGCTGCCGTTTTCCTTTGGGCTCTTTCTCCTCCTCCTCCCCCCTCCTCTGTGTCCTCCTTTGCCGCTGGGCTTCGCTGGATGGTAAAAAAAGTGTCCCACCCCGCCCAGGAACGCGCGGATCTGCTGGCGGGGGCCTCACGCCGATCCATCGGCGAGGTATTCGCCGAGTCCGGGTCGATGTTCCCCCCCGTTGGCCGGCCCCCCTCGTCGGTGCCCCGCAGGTTCGACTGCGGGCGAGGAGGAGGAGGAGGAGGAGGAGGAGGAGGAGGAGGAGGAGGAGGAGGAGCACGAGGAGGAGGATTAGGGGGGCCAGGGGGAGGAGGAGGAGGAGGAGGAGGAGGAGGAGGAGGAGGAGAAGGTACGGCAAGATCATCTCGCTTCGAAAGCGGCGGCGGCGGCATCAGCGCGGTCGTTCCAGCGGCTTAGGGCCAGCCGATGTCAAACGATCTGCAATACCAGGAAAAAACTGTGAACGTTCCGGGTCGAGCGATCAACGCGGCGAGCCGTCCCCACTCAAGGAGGAGGAGGAGGAGGAGGAGGAGGAGGAGGAGGAGGAGGAGGAGGAGGAGGAGGAGAACGCGAGGCGGGTTGCCCAGGGAGGACTGAGGCCCCTTGAGGGCCTGGCGGCCGCGGTATGCAGTCGTCATTCGTCGAAGACGTGGGGCCGGATCCCCAGGTCAGCAGCACGAGCACGCTCTTCCGGGGCAGCGACAGGGGGGAGTATGCCTATGGGGGGAAGGACGCATCGCCCCCCCCTCGCCCACTGATCGCCGATGGGGGGCTGCTGGCCCCAACCCGTCCAGGAAGGTGCGGATTCACTATCGGGGGCCTATCGCTGATCTATCGGCGATGTATCGCCGATTCCAGCTCGATGCATCCTCTCCATGCCAGTCCCCCCCTAGCGTTGCCCCTCAACTGTGGGCCTGGTGGCAGCGGTACGCAGGGTGTGCGAGGCGGTTTGGCAGCGTCCCTGATTTGTTCAAAAGGCCATATCTCTAACAACCCCAGCCTGTCGATTGGGGCACTTACCGGTCGTCTCGACATGGACTTGCCGCAGGAGGGGTGAGGACAGTTGGGGGACGGCAGAAGGAGGAGGAGTGGAAGTCTGAGAACACTAAGCGGTTTGATGTCTTGCAGACGGTGAGTGACGAAATTACGCCACGGAGTTGGAGCGTACTATGGGTGAAAGAAGAATGCGTGAAGCCGAGTTCGGCAAAGCAATAACAAATTAGGCGAGGCCAGCGTAGAAGATGGACGAGACAGGGCAAGAGAAACAAGCAACATGAAGGAGGATGTTCAAAGGTTCGAAGTATACGCGCTAGCCTCCGTCGCCTTCCTCGCTCTCCTCATTCCGCTCCTCCACTCGACCTGCCGCTCATCTTGCCTCCCTCGCCGACTTTTGGCCGACGGGCCACGCAGGCTGCGTCTTGCCACTCCTGTGACTGGTGGCTTTTGGATCGAGAGAGAACAACCCACCCTCACACCCGCCAGGATGGCTTCTACATTTTTTCCAGAATGCTTGTGGACTTAGTCGACACGCCCCCACGGCGACGATTGCGAATCGCGACGCTTCCGGTTTTACAAATCTTGTTACAAGCTTTTCTTCGCTTTTTTCCGTTACACCGTTGCACCAGTGCCACGTTTCTGCGTCTACAGGATTGCGCCGTTGCACGTGGTCGATGGCGCGATGTGATAGATGTCTCAGGCAATCTCATGCGCGGCAGTTGTTATATTAAATATACAAGATTTCGTAATAAAAGGGAGGGGGTCTGGAAGCTCCAAGACAAGCCATTTCAGACCTCCCCCGTGGGAGAACCTTCCAACACATCGTCCCCAGACCCCCCAGGCCCTCCAAGATAGCCTGGAAGAGACCCCCCCGAAATGAGACCCCCCTCCCTTTATTACGAAATCTGGAGTAAGTTATGGGTGTTTCTTAAACATTATTTGGTTTTATAACAATGTGGTTTCCTGGCCCTCGGCGGATGCATGGTTTTCGCAAGCTGCCCGGGGCCTCTCTTGGGGCACGTGCAGCTGGCGACGGTCGCCGGGCCACAGGATCTAGAGAGAAGCCTTGTATCCATGGAGTGTGGTATAGTGTCGGCGTCCCCCAAACATACTCATACTATGTGTTCGTCGCCCCCCGAGGGGCGACGCGCGCACTGAGAAATCTCATAGTATATGCGTCGTGGCGGGCGCTTTCTGGCCACACCGAACGAGAAACGATATACTAAAAGATGGGTATACTACATGTTCGGGTCGGACGCGCGCCTCCAAGGCGGACACGTAGTATTGGTATGTCTCTGTGCGTTTTTAGTGGGTGTTGGGGTGGCTTGGGTCTACTTCGTTGGACACGACAGGGCCGTGTTTCTGTTCGGGGTTCAGGCTGTCGTTTTTGGTGGCCAGTTCTGGAGCCGTTTTTGTTCCGATTCTGCGCCGCCGTTTGTTTTTCTCGGTTCCCACCCCGGTTCCATTCTCTGTTCTTGCTTCCGATACGACAACTTTTTGTTTTACCGTTTCACTCTCAAGAATTAGGGTTTGGGAAACGGTTGCACAAATCGTCCCTGTCGCATTTATATATGTATAAATGTGTATATATATATACACAGACATATACTGGACACTCCTTCAGATTGACCAAAGCTTTATACACCAGGCTCATAAATCATTCGAGCGCCAGTGTTTGTACTTCCGTCCTCTGTGTGGTGCAGCTTGTTCGCAACGTGTTTCCTGTTGTCTCCCTCTCGTCCTTCACCCTCCCTTCTGGGCAAAGCATTCTATATTGCCCATGCGCTTTTAGCGCTCTTGTTGGCACATCTTGAGTGGCATATCGCTAGCCAATTCAGCCTCGGGGGAAGTACGGTCGCAGTTTGATTTGTCAATTCTGTTTTCGTCCGCTTGGGCAATCAGTTTTGGGCTATCACGCTGCCTATTCCCTGTCCGTTTCCTCCTCTTCTTCTTCGTCCAATTCTTTCCCTTTTTCCCCTTGAGCCCCAAGGGATGTATGAGTTTACATGGCGACTCACTGCGCTTGGCCCAGAATCTGTGGTCTGTGTCTCTGCCGCATGCGCAGGACAGCCCTGCTACGTTGCCGTGGCTACCCCCGTTTTAGTTTATCTATATCTGCCAAGGTATCGTGTGTGGGTCCAGGTTGGCCGTCACGTTATTCTGGGTTTGCCGGTCGCATGTGATGGGGCACGATTGGTGTGTCTGTGAGGTAAGCAAGCAGGAACGAACTCTGTATAGCTGGCCCCAGAGGTGCTGTAAGGGCGAGGAGTCCCACGAGCAAGAAGGGCCTTACGATGTTTTGCCATTTGCGGATTCCAGGACACATCGTCCCTGACCGGGATCGTCCGAAAACACTCAGCATGAACGGCTGGTCCCCTGGAAACATACGGATCCAGAACCCGTTATTTTTCAAGGGAGTGAAGATACGGTGAGCAGGGGGCAAGGGGGGGATGGGGAAGAGAAACGGGGGTGGAAATATGGACGGGAGGAGGGACGGGGAATGACATGAGGAGGGGTTAGAGAAGGAGGGGGGTAGGCGAGTCGTGAGGGGGGGCGGGTATAGGAGGGGGGATATTGAGAGTTTGCCGACGAAGCCAGCGGCGAGGGGGTGAGGGCCCAGGTATCGCGGTTGTTATCAGCTATTTAGGGATGCAGATGCTCTTGGGCACGGTC